TTGATTAGCATAACCTAAATGAATTAATTTTATTCAAAAAATATTCTTAATATGTTTCTTTTTATTTACCTTCTTTTAAACCTCGTCCAAATACTTTCACTTTACTAGCATCACCAATTTCTGATGAACCAACATGTATACGAAATGGACTATTTTTAATATGTTTACCATCACGATAAACATTTACTAAATGATCACCAATTTCTTTTGGTATAAATGATATACCGAGACTTCCATTAGCTAATTTTTTTAATAAACATACATCTTCTATACCACTTGGTGAATGTATTGTGGCATTTAAATCATGTATATCCATTTCAGTTACACGTAAACTTATTTCACTTTGATTTCCGACCATAACTTGTGAGCGTTTACGATTTTCAACTGCTAATGGCAAACCAGTTATTTTAGCAGTAAATGGTGAACCAACAATATGTTTATCAGCAAATTTAACAGTTATTGTATATTCACCAGGGGCAGTCTTAAAGAAAAAAATAGTAAGACGTTCAATATTTTGAAAAGTGTTTAGAATCTTAAATTACCGGCCAATAAGTAACATCACATGTACCATCTTTATTATCTTTACATTGAATTTCAGCTTTTGAACTTCCTTCAACAGCAACTGACAGACCGCCTGAACCAGCATCTTTAGTTACAATACGAAAGCTACATGATTCATTACAGGCACCATGACTAAGACCAGGTCCATACGCTGTAACATAACCTGTTTGAACTTGATCAACATGAAATTTAAATGGTGAACCAGCTATGGGTTGACCTTGATAAAATACATCTAATTCGTGTAAACCGATTTCTGATGGTTGATATTTTATTGAAACAGTTCCATCTTGATTATCATCAATAAGTGGGGTATGAAATTTACCTATTGGTGTTCGTATTAATGCTAAAAGAAAAAAAAAATTTTTTTTTCAATAATATTCTAATACTTAATACTATGAAAATCCATCTAAAAGTCTTTTATGTATATGTATGCATATATGTGTATGTTAAGCTCAATTAAATATGCGTAACTATTGCTTTCTCTTCCGCTGTTTACTTGTTAATAATGTTCATCGCATCAGTGTTCAATAAAGCCTTATTTGATCTTTCTTTCTCTCTTTCTGTCTCTCGTTTTTTTTCTTCGTACTGTTTAGATGAAGAACAACGAGCATCGAAAGCATATATACTTTAAAAAAAATTCTTATCAATACATGCATAACATACAAAAGAGAGAAAGAAAAAAAACGTATTCTTTCTAAAATTCATACCAGTAATATCACTAAGTTTACCGCCACCAACAGGTAATCGAAAATCGACAGGTCGATATTGACCTGTTGTAACAGATTCTGTTTGTGTTCGAATATATTTATTAGTGTCACCAGCCTTTGCAAACAAAATAAGAACAAAGTAAATAGATAGATAAATATAGAATATTATTTAGAAAATTTGCAGAAAGCAAATAATAAGAAGAAAAAGCAGAGTAGCATACGAAGTATGACAATAGCAATATTGAACTCGAAATCATGTCCAGAAATGATAGTAGAAGTTCTCATTCGTTTCTGTTTTTTTTAATCTATCATCAATATTTTTATTTTGTAATCTTGACCTATTTATTGATTATTTTGACCGTTATGTGAGATCATGTGCTTCAAGTATAAGCATACCCTGAGATCTGTTGTACCCTATAAGAAGACGAAGACTGGCCTCCGATTACAAATTTTCGAAATTATAGGAATTCCTATATAGGATTTTATTTTCGGAATTATACGATTATTTTCACTAAAAAAAGTAAAAAATTGACCAAAATTTAGGTATTGTACGTCGAATCGCACCTCAAATGTATGTGCTTTACTTGCAAGAAACAGCTATTCACATTACCTGGTTTTTTTCGTAAAAAGTGATGACCGGGGCAGAGGGGGTAGCGTCGCGAAGATCCCCGTACTTCCCCTCAGGGCAGAGTCAAATCTCATGAAATTTTTCCACTTTTTTGTCAAAATATAGAAAAAATAGAAAAATCAATCGAAATATAGGACAAAATATAGGATTTTTCAAAAAAATAGGAATTATAGGACGAATCGGAGCCCAGCGAAGAAGAAGAAGAAATACAAGAAGAGCAATATAAAATCGAATTTCGACCCATCATCTGATTCTTCGTTCTTTTTTATGACTATGCTTATCATAGATGAAGAAGTCCAAGTAGGATATTAATTTATTCAAAAAAACACTTATTAGTAGAGAAAGGAGCAAGAGAAGATTTTCTTTTCTTTTCTTCTTTTTTTTATAGACGTACCGTTACGACAAAATCACCACCTGGGATATCTTGTCCGCCGAATTTAATCTTAATAACATAATTTCCTGGATTATGTGGTGTATAGAATAAATTATATGTTCCATCTTCATTATCAACAATATCAATATCAAGGTCATTGCCAAGTGTTGAACGTATACGACATGTTACTGCACCCGGGCCGGCATCATGTGTATCAACAGTTATTGTATATTCTTCACCTACTTGAAGATTAGGATTAATGCCAGTGCCTAGAATTATAAATAAATGTTTTAATATGAATAAATAAATGCGGAAACTTCGGATTTAAATCCGAGAGTTATGTGTACTTCAAAAAGTGAATTAGACAGATGAGTCATCCTAGAATATGTGGATATCAAAATTATACTGGGAAAACTTTCCTAAAAACTGTTTATTTCTGTTGACTATTGATCCATCAATAGGGCTTGGAGGCGAATAGAGCTCAAATTTGAACTCTTCGCCTTGATTTACCCTAAGAAAGTCGTTTTTCCTATAACTTGATTTCTATTGGTCACTGCTCAACCAATAGTATTTCGAGGCAAGTGGAGTACGGATTCGAGTTCTCCGCCCCAGAAAACCTCAAAGTATCAACTCTATGATCGGAAGATAGAGCTCGAATTGTGAGTCAATTAGATGGTGGACAAAAACGGAACCTATTTCCGTTTAATTATCTTTGTAATAGGTGAGTTAGCCTTCTCGTTCCTCTATGTTTTATATACCATTTTGCAGCTCGTGAAATTCTCTATCGAATGGTATATAATAGTTGGGGTTTTATTTTGAGTATGATAGGAAAAGTATTTTACGAAAGCGGGGATGGGTCGATTTTCGCATAGAAAGCCATAAGAAAAAATGAGTATTTTTGCAATAACTCAGGAATGGTTCAGCCAATTCTTCTCATCTTCGAACTCGATCGAGACATTGTTAAGACTGAACTGTGTAGAAAATTTCATCGAGATTGGACTCTCCTTTCAAAAGTTATCGTGTTAACGGACGGACGGACGGCCGGACGGACATACTGACCGATTCTAGAGTGTACTCACTTTTTGAGTACACAAAAAGAAAATTTCTATATCATCAAACCCGAAATATGGCATTTCGTTGGATCGCCGGTCGGCTCCACTTTCACGTTGAATGGAGAATTATGAACCGGAATACCACCATAATTAACATTAATTATATAGCGACCAACATCATTCGGTTTATATGTTACCTTGTAGGTTCCATCTTTATTATCAATGATTTTCGATGAAATTAAAAGACCTTCAGGATTCTAAAGAAAAAGTTTTATTTTTTTTTTGTAATGAAAAACTAATAGTTTTTTCTTCTTACTTTTATTAAAACGTCAGGTTGTTCAAAACCAGCGTCACGTGTATCAATACGAAAAGATGTTTCTAGTGATGCTGATATACCGTTACGAATACCTGGTCCGTCAACAATAACTTTATTTGGTTCGAAATGTGGAAGTACTTTAATGTTAAATGGACTAAATAATAAATAAATATACGTCAAAATCTAAATTTGTGCTTTTTTAATTTAAGAAAAAACCTCTGAGGTATTGGTTGATCACTCCAATTAATATCAATACGATGTTGACCTTCTGCTTGTGGAGTAAATTCTGCAACGTAAACGCCTTCGCCTCTAGGT